GTCGTGCCCTGCTGAGTACTCCATTCCACGCAGACAGTGTATGACCAGTACTTCATCACGCTCTACAACATTGTCTACACGTCACTGCCTGTACTCGCTATGGGTGTCTTTGACCAGGTATGGCGGGGGACAGTGAGGGGGGTCCCTGGATGTGTGAGAAGCTTGTTCCCCTTCCCTCCTCTCCCAGCTGTGGGAAGAAGGGCTGCCTGGGTGCCTGAGTCAGGCTGCCTTTGTCACTCTGTGAGCCGTGGTGGAGGCTGCACCTGCCCAGGGCTAAAGGGAGGTACCCAGAGTGTCCCATGCCCCCAGGATGTGCCAGAGCAGCGGAGCATGGAGTACCCCAAGCTCTACGAACCTGGGCAGCTGAACCTGCTCTTCAACAAGCGGGAGTTCTTCATCTGCATTGCCCAGGGCATCTACACCTCTGTCCTCATGTTCTTCATCCCCTACGGCGTCTTTGCTGACGCCACCCGTGATGACGGCGCCCAGCTGGCCGACTACCAGTCTTTCGCTGTCACTGTCGCCACCTCCCTCGTGATTGTTGTCAGTGTGCAGGTAGGGACGTGGCTACTCAGACCCAGTCCCTCAGGGCACCTCGGGCATCCCCTGATCCCTGTCTCCACCTGCATCCCCCCACCAGATTGGGTTGGACACAGGATTCTGGACAGCCATCAACCATTTCTTCATCTGGGGCAGCCTGGCTGCCTACTTTGCCATCCTCTTCACCATGCACAGTGATGGCCTTTTCCGTATATTCCCCAACCAGTTCCGCTTTGTAGGTGAGTCCCTGGAGGGGTGCCCTAAGCTCCCCTCTCCAGCAGGGTGCTGCCTCAGCCWAACCCTCACTGGACTCATGCTTTCCCCCCAGGTAATGCGCAGAACACGCTGGCCCAGCCCACGGTCTGGCTGACCATCGCCCTCACCACTGTAGTCTGCATCGTGCCCGTCGTGGCCTTTCGCTTCCTTAAGCTGGACCTGAAACCAGAGCTCTCAGACACGGTGAGAGTGCGTGGCTGTGGGAGTGGACATGGGRTCCTTGTGGAGAGMTGRTTGCACAGRTCCCTGACCCTGGCCCTGTGTCCCCAGGTGCGCTACACTCAGCTGGTACGGAAGAAGCAGAAGACACAGCACCGCTGCATGCGGCACACAGGGCGTGTGGGCTCACGCCGCTCTGGCTACGCCTTCTCCCACCAAGAGGGTTTTGGRGAGCTCATCATGTCTGGCAAGAACATGCGGCTCAGCTCCCTGGCGCTCTCCAGCTTCACCCCCCGCCCCAGCAGCAGCTGGATYGACACCCTGCGGAAGAAGAAGGGCTGCGAGGGCAGCAGTGCTGGCAGCCCCAGTGGCGCATCTGACAAGACTCTCAAGGTCTGAGGCTGAAGGGGATCACGTTCCCTTCAGAGCAGATGGGGGCCCCCCTCCTCTGCCCTGGCCCTGGGGCGGGCAAAAGCCCCTTCTCAGCAGGGTCCCATGGTGGGAGCTGAGATCACGTGGGGGCCGGTGCTGAGGTTTGGAGGAGTCTGGACTGTCACCTTCTTGCCAGCAAATATACTCTTACCCTCCCTGGGGTGGGTGGACGGATGGATGGATGGATGGATGGATGGATGGATGGATGGATGGACGGACGGACGGATGGATGGATGTCATCGCCAGCAGCCCCCCCTGTTTGCTTCTCTATCAGTATCCGATTCCACCGAGTGCAAAAGCCCCCATCACACACGAATGTATCATGCCAGAGGTGCAGGAGTCTAGGGGGACTGTGGCCTCTCCCTGCTCCTCACCCACGTGTCTTTTTTTTATATAAACAAAAATAGGAAAAAGAAGACCCCCCTCCCCAGAAATAGCGACAAAAAAAAAAAAAGGAAAAATCCTCTAAGTTTACAGAGCGACTCGTTTCTTGGCTGTGTACAGGGAGAAGGGGAAGGAAGGTCACCCTCTGTATCCTCCCGCCTCGGGGTTCACCAGGACAGTGGGTGCTGGGTGGGAAAGGGGAAGCATTCTGTGCCACAGGGAAGGCTGGGTGTTGGCGGCTGCCGTGATTCACTCCCACGCGCGGTCTTGCGCAACCCTCGGCCTCTGCTTCCTCCGTGCTCTGCAGCTCCCGCGGGACTGAGCGCTCCTRTGGCTTTGGGTGGGCAGTGGGACACTCCCGGGGACTCTCTGCGGGTSTTGGGGTCCCAGGGACGCGATACCAAAGAAGAGGTGTTGGGGAGGGCTGGAGGGGATTTGGGGGGAGTTTGGGGTTGTTTCGGTTGAGGGGACGCGGATCGGGGTGGATAATTTATGACGCGTTTCTATCTGGCGGAATTGTATCATTTTATGGTTCCTGAGGAAACAAAGCCCAAACCAGCTCTTTATTGCTTTCTTTTTTTTTTTTTTTTTTTTTTTTTTTTTTTTAAAAAAAAAAAAAGAAAATAATGTTGTGAGCAGATTCTGCCGTGTCCTGTGTGCGGGGCAGACGGGGGGAGGGTACGATAGAGTTTTCGGAGATTACGGGGGGGCGGTGCCGGTTCATCCCGCCCCTCGGTGCCGCTGGCCGCGCCCCCGGGCGCACGTGCCGCCCCGCCCCTCTGCCCCGTTTCACAACCGCGGGCACCGGCGGCTCCGCCGATGTTTTTTTACCCGGGACGGGGCGCATGGCGCGGTCGCCGGGGCCGCTTCTCCTTCTTTTCCTTCTCCGCCTCCTCCTCCGCCTCTCCGCCGGGCGGCCCTGCGGCCCCGCAGGTGAGTGCGATCGTACCGGACSGGGCGGGAGGGGATGGCCCTGAACCTCTCCCGGTACCTGGGCCCCGTGGGGCCGGGCACGGGSAGGGGACACACGCGGTTCCCCGCCTGCCCCGGAGGAGCTCAGCCGGGCCCGGGAGATGGGCCGGTGGGGGTATCAGCCACCCTGGGAGTGCTGGGGGAAGCGGGGGTGGGTTTGGGGTGCTGTGTTTGGGGTGCTGGATGGGTGTTGGGCGCTGTACGAGTGCTGGGTGTTCTCTGCTGTGTCCCGGGTGCTGGCTGGGCGCGTTCCCAGCAGCAGGAGCCAAAGGGAACAGCAGGTTCACACTGGCCATTGACCTTTGGCTGGAGCCGGGAGCGCTGCCCAGGCCTGGCCCGGGCCGCCAGCCACTGCAGCTGCTCAATCCCCCTGGCACTGGACCCCCACCCAGAGACTCCCGGGACCATCAGCCGCAGTCTGCCGCCCTCCCTGAGCTGTGCTCCCATCACCAGACCCCTCCACATGCAGCACACCATGTGCTGTGGTGCCCACCCCTGYTGCAGTGCCGGGGATCCAGCACCCTGCTATGCAGGGAGCCATTCTTCAGCTCAGTGCTCACTGGACATGGGGAGCAGAAGATGGGGTGCTTCTCGTCTCCTGGGACACCCACTGTGCCTGGGGTCTTGTTTTTATCACCGGGTCCCCTCCTGTCCCTCCAGAACTGTCACAGGACACAGTGTTGGGCCGCCCGGGAGCCAACATCACGCTGACCTGCCAGGATGCGGTGCCTGCGAACGCCTCGGTGCTGTGGCAGATGGAGGAGCGGGGGGCAGCAGGGGGCCGGGAACGGCGCCTGGCGGAGGGGAACACGCTGCTTCTGCRGCGGCTGCGCTACGAGGACTCCGGACGCTACAGCTGCTCCGTGGGGAGCCACCTGCGGCGCTCCCTGCGGCTGCTGGTGGCAGGTGGGTCCGCGCTGGGGTGGGGATGGCCCTGGCAGCGTTGCCTATGATGGCCCCTGTCCCCCAGCACCTCCCTGCTTTTGCAGARCCCCCCGAAACTCCCCGGGTCTCCTGCTACCGGCGGAGCCATGACAAGGATGTCCTGTGTGAGTGGCCACAGCAGGAAAAGCCATCCCCGGGGACGCGGGCGATGCTTTGGGTGAAGCGGAGGTGAGTGCTGTCACTGCATCCACCTTGGGCTGGGACCCCATAGGACACAACGAGTCCCTCTCCATGGTCCCTTTGAGCGGTGCCCTCTGGGACCCCATAGGACACAATGAGTCCCTCTCCATGGTCCCTTTGAGCGGTGCCCTCTGGGACCCCATGGCTCCAGGTGCTTCCCTCCCTGCAGACCCTTTCTCTAGAAGCTGCTGGTGCCTGGGAGTCCACAGCGTGGGACCCTTTGGCACAGAATTTATCCCTCCCCACAGACCCTTTCCCTGGCACTGACCAGAACCCCACACCATAGGATGTGTTCCCCAGCTGCCCCATGCCTAGAGCGTGCTGCAGCCCCCCCAATCTGTGACCCCACAGGTTTGTGGCTGAGAATGCCACGGAGCAGCGGTGCCGCTACTTCTCCAAGGCACGGAAGTTCGTTTGCCGGGTGAAGGTGCCACCTGGCACTGATGACACCAAACACCTGGTGGTGTCCACGTGTGTCAGTAACGGTGCTGGTGGCTCGGCTGGCAAAGACAAGATCATCACCCTCAGTGGTGTCTGTGAGTGCTGCTCCTGTTGCTGGGGTTGGGGTGGCTGAGGGTGCAGTGCCAGGCTCTGAGCCCCCTCCTCCTCCCCACCAGTGAAGCCAGACCCTCCCATCAATGTGACAGTGGTGGCACTGGAGGAGGCGCCGCAGCGGCTGCAGGTCAGCTGGTCCTACCCCTCATCCTGGGACCCGCGCTTCTACTGCCTCCGCTTCCAGGTCCGCTACCGCCCCGAGCCTGCCCCAGCCTTCATGGAGGTGAGACCCCGCTTGCTGGCACGGAGCTGTGGCTTTTCCTGGCCAGACTGTCCCCAGCCCCGTGTCCCCTCCAGGTGGATCAGGTGACAACAACGTGGCTGGATATTCGTGACGCGTGGCGCGGGACAAGGCACGTGGTGCAGGTGAGGGCAAAGGATGAGTTCGGCCATGGAGCGTGGAGCGAGTGGAGCCAGGAGGCTGTGGGCACCCCGTGGACAGGTAGGAGGGGGAGGCTTGAGACTGGGGGCTCAGCATGGGGTCTCCCAGCCTCATACCACCCCCTCATTGTGCAGACCCCAGGGACTTCACCTCTGAAATGGAGCCTTTCAGCTCACAGGTAACGATGGTCTCAGCCCTGGGAACCATCACACACTCCTTCATGGGTCTCTTGTCCCCATGTGGGACATGGGGACACCAGGGTATACGGACTATCCTGTCCTGTTGTCCCCTCCCCACCTTTCTCAGGTCCTCATGGAAGATGGCACCTATGGGGTGACACTGCCCCCCAAGTTCTTCGGAGAGGATCATGCTGATGGTGCTGGGGGTGAGGAGGGGTTCCTGGGTTTGGGACTGGGGGTTGGGACACCCAGGTCCCTTGTCCTCACAATGGGCCCTCTGTGTCAGGGTCTGTCATGGAACCCAGCACCCATCCTGTGGCATTCCCCTACGCCTTCCTGGTGACCGGGGGGAGCCTGCTCCTTGGCATTGCCCTCTTTGTTGGCATCATGGTGAGGTGAGTGCCAGAAGGGCTGAGCCACGGGTCCCTGTGTGCCCACCCTGACCTGGAGCCTCTCTCCTCCCCTGCAGGTACAGACAGACACGGTGGACAAGTGGGCAGGAGAGGACCAAGCCAGAGGGCGAAGGGCAGCACATGCTGGTCCCCCTAGGCCTGCCCCCCACCACCACACTCAGTGACACCCCTCTGCTCTCACCCCCTGCTCCCTCAGCTCCTGGARTGCTCCACACCACCCACTCAGACTATTCCTCCTCAGGGCAGTAGCCAGGGGCTGAACGTGCTTGTGGGTGCTCCCAGGGCTGCCGTGTGGCTCTGGGAGCAGCTTGCCCCTCTTCTCGGGTGGCTCTGGGGCCAGGAGTAGCCCTGAGGAGGGAATTCAGTGCCACCCCCATGGAGAAGCAGCTGGGCAGGGCCCCAGACTGGGTTCTGGGGGGCACCTCCAGTACCGTGGCCAAACTGGGATGGCCAAGAGGGACAGCGCTGGAGCTACATCTGTGCCAGAGTGCAGGAGCTGGCCTGGGACTGCGTTTGGGGGTCCTGCAGGGAAGGGCCTGGTCCCCTGGAGTGCCATGGGAGCTGGGGAGGGAGGGGGGACCTGGCTGGATCGGCCCCATTCCTCTGCTCCAGCCCCCTCGGGCTTCCTTTTTAAAGCACATATTGGGGAAACAGGACAATGTGGCTCCAATAAACACTTTGAATTTACACTGAAATGGGTGCTGGGGCRGGGGGGAGGTAACAGAGGGGTTGCTGCAGCCCCCCCAGTGGCCTGGGAGTGGCTCCAGTGTKGGGGACCGAGACTGGGCACCCGCACTCCATTGACCCTCTCCCTTCCTGTGCCCCCTAACTGTGCCCCCCATGTATCCCATGCTGTGCTCCATTTCACTGGTGCCTCCCAGACCGTACCCCTGTGCTGTGCACCCTTCTGTGCCACAAACCCCAWGCCCTGCACCCCCAGCCCATCCCTCTGTCATGCACTGCCCACCCCGTGCTGGGCTGGGTTGTGCAATACCCCGGGGAGCTGCAGCTGCACCCGGGCAGGAAACCACAGAACAAGAGGAGAGGGTGCTCAGGCGCCCTGGGGATTGTGTTCCCCTTCCCTTCTGCTGGCCCCTTGCTATAAAAAGCCAGGCAGGATGCAGATGTGCAGYGGGGGGAGACCCAGTACCCCTGGCCCCCAAAACTGTGGTGACTCCTGCCAACACAAGCCCCACCCCAGGACCACAGGTCCCTCTCAGGCAACAAGTTTATTTTACTAGATCATTACACATCCCCATCTCACTGTGTCCCTGCAACTTCAAGGCGGTTCTGGCACAGGGGGTCAGGATACATCCCAGCAAAAGGGTGACAGCCTTGCTGGAGTCCAGGAGTGGGGTCCCCTCAGGACTGGCGACATGGCAAAGGGGTTCTGACTGGACCCTTCTCGTGGCACATGCCCATCGTCCTGTCTCGTGCCACAGGGGTGGTGTCGCAGGTCACTCGGAGGGGACATCAGCAGGTGCTAATGTAGCTTGCAGTGGACGGGGTGCAGCAGGGCCATGTGCTCAGCCCCCTTGAAGGGCAGCTTCTCGGTGGAGTAGTAGTGCACAACTTCAGGGATGCTGGTGAAGACGCCGCTGGCCTGGCTGAGCGTGTACTTGTTGTCCTTGGTCTGGGCCACGATGATGTGGACGCAGCCCTGGCTGGTCCTGGATGACCAGCAGGCATCAGCGCTGCCGCCAGCCCCGCGGCGCCCGCCTGCCCCGCGGCCGTATCCACCCCTGTTTGTTCCCGTCCCGCTCTGATTGTTTCGGCTCCAGGGGCTGCACTTCCTCAGGAAGGAAACGCCACTGGCGCTCCCGACAATGTGCCGGGGAGGGGGACATGCCGACTTCCCCCTTCCCCCCCTCCCCGCGCCCCAGCTCCACACCAGGATGCCTGGGTCCCTCGGTGAATCGGGGGGTACCATCCCAYGGGATCTGGGTGCTTCCTCCCCATCAGGGCTTTGAAGGAACAGCCAGGGGTTGCTCCGGCCGCAGCATCGCCCCAGGGTGGGGATTCGCTCCCCCTCCCCCGGTCGGGACCCTCCCCCCGGGACGGGACCCATTTGTTTTGTGCCCACCCCGACACTCACTTGAGCGCGATGGAGTACTTGCCGCTGCCCGTCTCGCTGGTGCGCACCAGGTAGCCGGCTTCCCGGCACGTCTGCAGCCGGCTCTCGGCCTCAGCCCGCGTGATGGCCCCGTGGTACCAACTGTTCAGGGGACACAGCGAGGGGACGCTGAGCTGGGGCAAAATATCGGGCACTCCATCCCTCCTCACCCTCTTTCCCACGCGGGGATTGGTGTCACAACTCACGGCTGTTTCTCCAGTGCCAGGGCAGGGTCCACTTTCTCCCCCTCGCTGTGCTCGGTGCCYGCCGGCTTCAGCATCTTGGGGGTCCAGCTCTTCTGGCGCAGATGCTGCCGCAGCGTCTCCTCCTTAGGACGCTCCGAGCCCTCAAACTGGACTGGGAGGGACAAGATATGAGCCCCCAAGGCCCACTTCCACTTCCAATCCCCATCCCTAGCTCCACCCCTGTCCCCAGCCCCAGCACCTTCCCCAGCCCCATCCCCTGCTCCAGCTGGGTGCCTGTCCTCCCCGGTCCAACACCCCACCATCAAAAGGGGTATCTTCAGCTCCATCTGGTTGTTCAGAGCCCCATCCAACATCACCTTGCAGGCAACCTGTGCCAGTGCCTTGCCACTCAGCCCAAGAAGGTTCTTATATCTAAAGTGCCCCTGACAGTTTAAAACCATGACATCTTGTCCTATTGTGACAAGCCCTGCTAGGAAGTCTGTCCCCATCCCTGTCCCTGTCACCATCCCCATCCCACTCTTGTCCTTCCTCCCATCCTCATTGCCATCCAGTCCCTCTCCCTTACCTGACAGTGCTTTGACAATCTGCTCCTTCTTCCACTCCCAGGGCTGCTCGTACTCCCCCGCYGGGCGCTCGTCATTCTCAGGCAGGCGCCCATCTCCAGCCCTCACCCTGCGCTCTGGAGTCCCCSCAGCCACCCCCTCCCCGGGCTCATAGGGGGTGTCATAGAGCTGKGGCCCCTTCCCCACCACCTCCTTGCCCCCCAGCCGCTTGGCAAGGTCCAGTTTGGCACCCCCTTCCCCAGGCTCTCCAGGACCATCCAGCAGCAGGATGGCTTTSACCAGGGGGTCCTTGGAGCCCCGACGACGGATTTCTGTGGAGAAAAGGGATGGTGGGTCAGGGATGGGTCAGTGTGTCCCCTGAGATCCCCCTACTCCCCATACCAGCCCTTGGGGAGGGATGTGCACTGAGGACCCCACTGGGGCTGGGAAYGCCTTTTTGGGAGCCAGTTTGGAAGGAGCTGGAGCAGGAAGGGGCCCATTCTCGCRGCGCCCGGTCTGCTGTCCAGCCCTGGGGCTGCTGGCGCCACAGGCACGGACTGGGCTCCGTGGCAGCAGGATGCTACACCCCGAGCTGCAGCTCAGCTGCATGGGAGGCCATCCCAGGGGCTCACCCCTCCCAGCACCCTGCTTCTCCCCATGGCGCCGGTCTTTGCCTAACAGCCTGGGCTGCCCTGCACGGAAAAAAACCATCAGCAGCAAATCTTTTATTTCCAGCTTCCGGCCCAGTCAGTTCCTGTTGTTGTGGCCAGCTGGACAGTGGCCACGCCAGCCGGGGGGTCGCTGGCTGGGGGGCACGGCCATGGGGAACTCCTGRGGGGTGGTACCCGGGGATGATTTGGGGGCATCGAGGGCTTTGCGCTGGCCACATGCACCCGTTGGATGATGGCAGCGGGTCACGGCARCAGTTGAGGGGCCGGCCAGCACGGGTCAGCGTCCGGCCTTGCTCCCACTCCTTATCTGGCCCTGCGCAGCCGCAGGAAGCAGCGAGCAGCTTTCCTGTTCCCGGAGCCTCCCGTGCCGGGTGGCTCCAAGGGCAGCCACAGGCTCCCAGCYGGGGAGCGGTGCCAGCTGCTCAACACAGCGTGTACCTGTGATCATCTGCTGGGCATCGTAGGGTTCCATGTATCCGTCGTTCTCCCCCAGGCGCTCGGCGTCCCGCTGCCCCTTGGTCCGTTTGGCATCGTAAGGGTCCGCGTAATCCTCCAGGATGATGACCTGAGCAGAGAACAGGCACTGCTGGCTTCAAGGGTCTGGTGGGGGACCCAGCACGGGTGGCAGAGAGCACAGAGCCAGGCAGGGAACAGGGGCGCTGGGTGTCCCAAGGGAAGGGTGGCAGTTTATCTGGGGTAAATGGAGCTGTGCCACAACCCCAGAGGATGCACCCAGTGGCACCTTTGGGTGGGGGCAGTCCAGACCATTCCTGTGCACCTCAGCGGTGGGGAAGAGCCTGGGAGGAGTTCTGGGACCATTTTGGGTGACAGCAACCCCCCTAACTGGCTCCCAGTCCTCCCAAGGGTGTGCGGGGGTGGAAGTCCAGCTTCTCACAAAAGCTTTACATTAGTCTTAGTTTAATCAGCAGCTGAACTCTGGGGTCAGGCTGGCATGGGACACACGGGCTGTGATGAGGATGCCCGACGACCCCGCTGCTGCACTTGGCTGATGAAGGGCAGCTGGAATGAAGGCAGCTTTGAAGAGATTTAAAGGCAGTGGAGCAGGGCGGGATAAAAGGATGAAATCAGCCAGGCTAATGAGTCGGAGACCAAAGCAGTTAAAGCTGGCAGCGTTTTGCACTCCCCACATCTCCCCCTCCACCTCCCGGTCCCTGCCTTACCGTCTCTGTCTTGGGGGGCTTCCCTTTGTCCTGCTCGGGGGCAGGCAAGCCTGCAGGCAGGGCTCCAGGGTACCCCTTCCCGTTCTTCTCGGCAGCCTCCACCTTGATGAGGCGGTTAATGTAGGTTTTGGGGGGACCCTCCGGTGTGCCCCCCTCCGCTCGGGAATTCTTCCGCATCTTCCCGGTGGCRGCCTGGAGCAAACCCTGCAGGTTGTCCCGTGACAGCCGGCTGCCCCCTTCCTTGCCACCCCCAGCTCCCCGGCAGCCCCCCAGCTCAGCAGTTGAATTCTTGCGGTTCTTCCCAAGGCTCCCGCTTCCCGGCCGAGCCCTCTCAGAAACCGTCTTCAGGTTGGATGGGAACTCCTTGAACCACTTGGCCGCCATGGAGCCGGGGAGATGCAGGGTGCCGCAGCCCCSCCGGGGCTCCTCGACACCCCACGGYCGCCCCACCGGCTCCGGGACGGCTCAGCCGGGGGGCCCCGGGCTGCCCGGCTGCCCCCAGCCCCGGAATCGGGATCCTCTGCGGTCTGGGGCCAGCCCGGGAGGGGGACCGGGRCCTTCGTGGGGGGCTCCAGGCGTCCTTCGCCCCGACGGGGACAGCTGGCGGGTCCCCAGGGGTGCCGGCTCCTGGGGCCCGGGGAGGGAACCGCGTCCCCTCGGAGGTCCCTCGCCTCGGGGAACGGTCTCGGAGCGGGCCGGGRTATCCGCTCGAGTCGGGAGCTCTCGTCGGGTGCCGCAGGAGTCCGGGCGGGGCAGTCCCGGGGAGGTTCTGGGGATGCCCTGGGCACGGGGCTCGGGGGGTTCTCTCCGTGCTCCGGAGGGCCCGGCCGGGAACGGGCAGCGGCAGCCGGGGGGTCCCGTCGCGGCTCCTCGGCGGGGCCCGGCTCCGGGGGCAGCGGGGTCTCTGCGCGGGGTCAGGCCGGCCCGGGGGGCCCCATGCGGCGGCGGCGGGACGGGCCGGGCCGGGGCCGGGGCCGGAGGGGCCGGAGGGGGTGGCAGGGCCGGCGCTCCCCGCCCAGATCCGGAGGGGGCGGCCCCGGGGAACGGCGCGGCACCGGCCGGGCGGACAGCCGCGGACACGGCCAGCCATGGGAAAACATCGAACCTTCGCTGGGGAGCGTCCCGGTGGGGCTGGGAGATGTCGTGACCCTGYCTGGATGATGGGACGATCTGCACATGGATCACACCGATGGACTCCGTGTGGACCCCCGGGCAGAGACTCCGCGGACAGCACAGATCTGTGGGTCCCCTCCCGAAACCCTGGGCACGGAGCCCACGAAATGAGCCTGGGCATGGACTCCATGCTCCAAATGGATGGAAACTGTGCACAGAATCCCATGAAATGAGCCTGGGCATGGACTCCGTGCTCCCAATGGATGGAAACCGTGCTCAGACCCCATGAAATGAGCCTGGGCATGGACTCCACATTCCTGATGGATGGAGACCGTGCACGGAGCCCATGAAATGAGCCTGGGCATGAACTCCATGCTCTCTATGGATGGAAACAGTGCACAGACCCTATGAAATGAGCCTGGGCATGGTCTCCGTGCTCCCTATGGATGGAGACTGTGCACAGACCCCATGAAATGAGCCTGGGCATGGACTCTGTGTTCCCTATGGGTGGAGATCGTGCACGGACCCTTATGTGCACCCCACATTGCCCCTTTTACAAGGACCCCGAGCACAGCATCTGGGCACAGCCTGACAGGGCACAGWGAGTGCAGCCAGTGCTCTCTCTGCCGCCACGGCTGTGGTTCACACCACACCAGCCAAGTTCTACTTCTGGCTGTGTCGCCGCCTTGCCAGAAAAGCCCGGCTCAGCTCAATGGTTCGGTTTCCTGTCAGACTTTCAGGTTTGCTYTACAACAGCAAACCCTCCCCCTTTGCAACAGCAGGGGAAGAGGAGAGGGTTTTGGGGTAAATATGCTCCCCTAGCCCCCAGGATGGGAGTTAGTGGCAGAATACAGGCTCCTCTTCTGTGCGGGTGGGAGGTGCTGGGTGCTAGCAGCGCTGTAGGAAGTGATGGCAATTTCCTTGCTGGTGCTGCTGGGCAGGATGTGCATCKCAGCAGTGTGATGTTACTGGCAGGCTGGTGCCTGAACTGCCAGTGGGATCTCGGCTGGCTTCAGCTTTGCCTTTTTGAGGCCCAGGAAAATTCCAYTTACCCACCAGTAAACTCAGGTGCTGGTTCCTTTTATTTCCTTGACAGACTTCAATGCCCCTCAATTTTTATGTGGCCTCAACAGGACAAACAGGCAGCACTCTTAGTGGCTTTGTGTTGCAGTGGCATTCACACCAATGTGCCACGTGTCTCCTTTGGGAAGTCTTTCACCTGTCCTTGTTCTCTGCCAGTTCCTGCAGGGGAAGCTTTGGGAGCRCCTTTGGGCAGATGGCACCACACATCTGATTCTCTGAGAAGACAAAACAAGTGCTGAGCCACCACAGGGCTGGCTCACAGCAGGATGGGTCCTTGCTGGGGCAAGTGTGAACAGACAGGACTGGCAGATGCCAGCCAGATGCCTGCTCCTGCTGCACTTCCATGTCAGAACCATAGTGACAGTGTCCTGCAGGGCCCTCTTCAATCCTCCTGCTCATCCCAGCGTGTAAAGCTGCCATGATTTGGGAGTGTGGCTGTGAGCTCTCCCAGCCAACATCTCATACTCAATCCCAAGTCAACCCCATYGCTGGGCTCAGCAGAGCAGTCCCTACTTCACCAAAAACACACCCCTAGGAGTGTTTTAAACCTTCATTAAACTAAACCCACTACCAAGAAAGTTCCTGAGCTAAAGGTGGGAGCCCAATGCAACTACCACTGCTGCCCCCAGCCCAGGTACCACAAACAGGGTTTGAGAGGACTTAGGACAGGTGCTGGTCCAGAGAATGCAGGGTAGGGCTGGTCAGCATCACAAACTCTCTGGTCCTTCAGCAAAGCACTTAAAATTAAGCCCCAGCTGAGGCCAGAGCCACTCCTGCAGCTGTCAGTAATCCCTCTCCTAACAGCATCTCTTTATTCCAAGGCTCTGAGTAGGACAGKGAACCAGCTGCTGAAGTAGATAATGGAGTTCTGAGGCTCTTTGATTTTCTAATGACTTTTATTCAAACACAGTGAATTAATACCCATGGTTCCATCTTTGACACTAGTGCGTCAGTTCTGCCCTCCAGACAAGGACATGGCCCAAGTTAGAGAAGCTCCATCACCCAAATCTCCTTCCAGCATACTCAAAACAGAGCCAGGGGGATTCAAGACAACAGGCCACAACTGCAGCAACCCCATGGAGGGCTGGAGTACCAAGGCGAGCAGGAACAATAGCTTAAGGAAAGTAAAATCCCATAGAACTGGATGTTCACTGCCAGAGCAGGTTCTGGTCAGGGATGGGAGCAGTGCTGGGATGGAGCAGTGCTCTCACTCCACTCCCTGCAGCAGCTTGCAGCCACAGTGCAGAAGGGAAGGGGCCAACACATGGCTAGTGGGAATAAACAGGACAAAGTTCAGGCCTCAGCTCATCTCACTGCTTGGCAAGAGCACAGGGAGAAGTGTGGGGTGGGAGCTGACAGCCCCACAAACCCCTCRTCCACTGCAGGGGAGAGGACAGACTCACAGCTCTTCCCCTCTGTGCTTCCAAAGCTGTCAGTCTGCAGATACCAGAGAAAAGCTGGGTTTGCCCAGGGAAGATGGGGGCAGAAATCCTGCTCTCTTAATGCCAAAAAAGAAAAGGGCTTTTCTTCTTTTGAGGCAGCTGCTCCAGSTCTTCTGCAGGACTCAGGCCCACTAGAATTCCATCAATGCCCCACCCTGGGACCAGGGCTGCAGCAGGGTTTGTAGGTCACAACCCACCCAGCAGCAGCTTGGAAAAAATTAGTTAGACCAGCATTCTCAAATTAACAAACTGTAATTTTTCTCCAAAGATACATTTTCCATACACATCCATCATACACTGTAACAAAAAAAAGCAGTGTACATGAAATAAGAAAATAAATTAAATCCATAGCATAGGTAAGGAGGACGCTCTAGACTGGAGTAGAGTCAAAAGTTTCCAGCGATACAAGAGGCTCAAGAGTTTGTTTTAACAACAATGCCTGCTAGCATGGGCCCAGCAAGTGTTCTGGGTCAGTCCAACTCCTAAAACAGTTATTTAGAGTTTTGAACAGCCATTATTGTCCTGCAACAGGCAGAGCTATTACATCCTGGGAGCAAGCCAAGAGGCATCAGTGAGATCCAAGTAGAGCATCCAGAAGATATTCAGATTGGTCCTGCAGCATCCGCACTAGCCATCCTCCTTGGGTGGTGTATACCAGCCTGAAGGGAGGAGAGAGATCTGTGAGGGAGGAAACTGCATGGGCAACAGCAACCTGCACCTGCAAAAGCTGCTGAAAGCAGCAAAGTCCCATTCCAAAGGGCCAAAATCCCCATTTATTGTGAGGCTTTCCCGCTGGTTTACATCCTGACACCACATAGGCAATCACAGAATCATTTAGGCTGGGAAAGAACTCTCACTTCATCAAGTCCAAGCATTCAGTGAGGTGCTGCCTGTATTTTCAGGAGCCCAGCACTGGGTGGTGGAAAGGGCAGCAGCACTCTGCAGCCACACTGTGTTACAGCAGGAGCCACTGTCACTGCCTCCAGGTCACCTCCGCACTTGAGGCAGGATAAAACTTGAGTGGCTTGTCTGGGGAGCCCAAACAAGCATGGGGAAATGCAGGCCCACTCCCTCAGCCCTTACCATTCTTCTCATGGATCTGAACCAGGGATTTGTAGGACTGCTGTGCTCTTGTCAGGCTGTACTGGTTCTGCAAGGGAGGACAGGGAGACCATCAGGGGAGCCATGCCACACATCTTCCCTGTGCAGCCAGAGCTGGCTGTGCTTCCATCTGTCACCCACCATTCTCCTACACTGTCCGGGCCCTACCTTGTTGGCTCCAAATTGTACTCGTGCTTTCCCTTTCACCAGCGTTGCACTGATCTGCATGATCACCGACTCGATGGAGTAGGCACTACTCCAGCCCTGAGGGATGGAACACGTGGTGAGGCCAGGCCCACCCTGGAGACTGTGCTCCCAGGGCAAGCAAAGGGTCTTCCCCAGCTGTGCCAGGCAGTGGCACCACGGGAGCTGTCAGAAATATGGAGTGTGGCAGGCACAACAGCTCCCCAAGGTCCCTCAGGGATCAGCACCCACCTGTTTTGTAAGCAGCTCCATGCAGATGGCACCGCCACCCAAAACATACCTGGGACAGAATCAGACAAAATTAATGCACAGACAGATGTGGCCATACCCACCCACCATTGCTCCACCCACTGAGGTGAAACACCTTCTCTGATTAAATCTCCAATGGAAAAAATATGCTGAAAACTCCACCATCCATGTCTGTGCTTCCTAAAATATGCT